AGAGAGAGAGAGAGAGAGAGAGAGAGAGAGAGAGAGAGAGAGAGACTTGTAACTGGTAATCTTGAGAAGCTAAGGTATCTGACTTTGACTAGTAAAGTGTTTACACTAGGGGGAGATGTTTGCCAAGATTATCCTTAAATCATTGATTGCATTTTTCAAAAAATTTCAATCATGTTGACCATTAAGAAATAATGATAGGGCTGGGGATGTGGCTCAAGTGGTAGCGCGCTCGCCTGGCATGCGTGCGGCCCCGGGTTCGATCCTCAGCACCACATACAAACAAAGATGTTGTGTCTGCCGATAACTAAAAATAAATAAATATTAAAATTCTCTCTCTCTCACTCTCTCTCTCCCTCTCTCTCTCCCCCTCCCTGTCTCACTCTCTTTAAAAAAAAAAAAGAAAAGAAATAATGATAATATAACAATAAGCCAGTGGCATGGATGAGCACTGCCTGCATTGAATGATGGTCACATGGTGTTTTACATGGGATTATCATATCTTTTACATTGGAAAAAATTGACATGGAAGAATTTTTTTTTTTTTTGTACTCAAGGGTGCTTAGCCTCTGAGCCACATCCCCAGCCCTTTTTATTATTATTATTTTTTAAATTTTGAGACAGGGTCTCACTAAGTTGCTTAGGGCCTTGCTAAATTGCTGAGACTATCCTCCTGCCTCAGCCTCCCAGGTAGCTGGGATTACAGGCATCATGGAAGAAATCATTTTTGGAGGCAAAATCTCATCCATGTAGCCAGTGTTTCCTGACATTGTATGTGTGGTCCTTTTGACTGCAAATAGAGACATGGCAGATTTTTTGTTTTGTTTCTGGGTTTCAGAAGTTTTATTACGTTATGTCTCACGATGGATTTCTTTGGATTGATTCACTTTCTTGAATTATAGACATGCATTTTACCAAGTAAGTTTGGGATATTTTAAGTCATTATTTGAATATTTAAAAATATTTTTCTAGCTCCCCATTCTTCTTCTCTTGGGATTCTGTTCTGGTGACCTGAATATTGGATTTTTGTATTCTCTCCTAGGGCTCTAAGACTCTGTTCTTTTCTTTTTCTTTTTCAGTCTATTTCTCACTGTTAATCAGATTGGGTAATTCTCTAGATGTATTCCCTCCCTTGACCATCTTCAATGTATTGTTGAGCCCATTCTGTGAATTTTTCTTTTGTTTCACTTTGGCTATTGTATTTTATAATTTAATAGTTTTTGTTAGATTCGTTTTCATATTTCCTATTTCTTTACTGATAGTTTTCTAATTTTTAAGTTTCAAGTCCCCAGAGCCCCCACTTGCCTACTTTTGCTTTTGTCACTGTGATTTTGATGTCATATCCAAGGAATCTTTGCCTAGACCAATGCCTGTGTTTTCTTCTACGAGTTTTATTCTTTCAAATCTTACTTTTAAATCTTTCATCCATTTTGAGTTGCTATTTGTATAGTGTAAGGTAAGCATCCAATTTCATTCCTTTTTCATGTGGATATCCAGTTTTCCCAACACCATTTATTAGAGAGAATATCCTTTCCCCATTATGAATTCTTTGTACCCTTGTTAAAGATCAAAATGAAAAACCTTTGCAGCAAAGGAAACAACCAACAGAGTGAAAAGATAACCTGGAGAATAGGAAAAAAAAAGTCCATAAACTAAATATCTGATAAGGGGTCAATATACGAAATGTATGAGGAACTCACATGACTCAATAACAAAATGCAATTAAAAAATGGGAAAAGGGCCTTGCTGCAGTCTGGCTGGGTACAATTCACAAGCCACTTGTCAAGAAGAAATGAACTTTATTTTTAGAACACATGCAGCACCACAGGAGCTCTTCAGGAATTCCCTCAGAGCCCAACTGCCACCACCGGCTTCTCCAGCAAGCCTCTCAACCAGAACTCTTCCTGCCCTTGAGGCCAATTGGCTGGGTCATGTGGGCGGAGCCAAATGAGTCCCCCAATGAGCAGCTCTGTGGTCTGAAAGGGCGGGGAAACAGCCCAATGAGCTTCACTGCAGAGGAGCCAATCAGCTGGAAGTTTGCTGGGGCCACTTGGGCTGTGGCTCTCAACAGGGCCTGAATAGAAAAATTTCTAAAAAAGATTAAAAAAATGACCAACTGGA